CGTTTCGAACTGAAGTATTAAATGCCGATATGCTGATGATACTTTTGGTCACGCACTTGGTAGCTGCTGGTGTGATTTTGTGTCTTTTGTGAACGATTTTGAATAATTTTTTGACGAGTGCCTAACCATTTGCCCAAACTAAACTTTACATATATTGAAAGACCTATCCTAGTATAGTTAGAATCTAAAATCTTGTGGAATTCCGAGACATGGTACATGGTCAAAATGACAATTCCTTCCACCGACTGACTAACTAAATTTTGGAGAACACTCTGGTTTTGTTTACCGTCAAATAATTAAATTAATCCGATATTCTTGAAATTGTCTTTTTTTAGACAACGAATAGTTCTGCAATAAGCTGTTTGTATCACAACTTTTTCTGCGCTCAGTGGTTGCGAAATGCGAATCGAATGAAAATGGTCGATTTTCAGCCGATTTTCAGCCCAGTTGGGACTTGCTAAATTACATGAAATTGGGTCTGAAGGTTAAATCGAAATGTCGTTTTTCTCGGAAAGACAAAGCTATTTCAAGGAAAAAACTACAGCCTGTTTGTACTCTTGCTAGGGGCTAACTATATGCAAAAGACGAGTGAATTTGAATTTTCTAGCCTTGCCGAAGAAATTTGATTTTGTTTGATTTTTGTGGAAATTTGTTCCTAAATGCAGTTTATGTAATATTAGCAGCTTGCATCTCTGCACACGGAGCTACGAAACAATAATGCAGTTTTCAGTAGTTCTTTGTTAAGAAAAACAATGGATTACCATTGGAATTAAAAACAGTACATGTACATGAAATTGAAAAAAACAAAAGAAAGAAAGAAAAAAAGAAACAGACAAAATTAACGGTCTCAGTCGATCAGTCACGAAACTACGCTTCGATCGCTTTGCCTTCCAAAAACCATCGCTACCCTGTAGTTTTCACATGGCAAAATCTTGCAACCACTTTGCAACCTCAGACATGATTTTTTCTTCGTTTGCATGTTGGACTCTTAGATATTAAGCTTAAGTCTACCATGCAACCTCTAGCCCCAAGAAATACAGTGAATTCTGTGTCTCTGGAGTCCTTCCACGCCGTAGATCGTAATGAACGTTGCACAGAATCACCATAATCAATCAGTCTATCAATAACATTTATTTGTACACTTGCGGTGGCATTTGTTTCCCTCTCGTCTAGCCATAATTAAGCTTAATCATAAATTCCTAATCTCGGCAAACTTACCCTTCAATTCCGCCAAAATACAAATTGTCTGGGACAGCCGCCATCTTGAAAGATGTAAAAGATGAGGGGACTGGATTGAAAAGTTTGTCACGCAACGTTGAGCGTTACGCAATCTGACAACCTGCTTTTTACGGGGGCTGAGCCTGGGACTGGGGGACGGGGCTAGAAATTTTGTGATGACCTTTCTTTCAAAATTGTAACCACTATTTGGTAGGTTGACAACTGCAGCACAATCCAGGGTCTTTTTTAAAGTCCTGTCCGAACGGGAAATGTTTGGCGATCAAACACGATCAAACATTGTTTGGTGACCAAACATGTTGATGTTGTACAGAGTGGCCAAACGGTATCAAACATGTTTGAAGAATTACCCACATTCTATACATGCAAGGAACTGGTTTGAGAACGCCATCGTGTCGTGTTCCAGAAATGATTTAGCAAGAAAAAGACGTCATGAGACCTCATGAATTGTTGGTCTTACAGGCAGCTTTAAGGACGACAAAATACGTTTCTATGTGGACAAGCGTACGTAAACAAGGATGATTGAAAACAAGCTAATTGAAGGTAAACAACACACCATTGCCACGCGATAAGCTCAGGCGAAAGGCTCGCGCGATATCTATGAGCAAACCCAGGACGCATGCCGCACAAAGCATGTTTGACAAGAGCGTTTGACAAAGCCATCCAAACGGGAAACTGAAATGTTTCATAATAACAATATTTCATCAAATGTTACCCTGCAAGCAGAGCCTTTCCTTACGGCGCATTTGCTTTGTACAAAAATGATATAAAAGAGGCTCTGCTCGCAGTCAGGTCGTTCAAATTTTATCAAACGCAATCAAACAAGGTGTCCAAACGGGAAAATGTTTTGTGCGGCCAAACAATTTTTTATCGAGTTCGATCGCTAAACGTTTCATGTTTGGACAGGGCTTTAGACTGCGAGTGTTCGAATGGCGTCTTCCGGCGCCCTCTCCACTCGCCGCTCAAATATCGCGTTATTTAACAATTATTCGCCGAAGGCAAGGTGAACATTGGTGAATATTCACCAATGTTCACCGAGTCCGAGGCGAATAATTGTTTTAGTATAATTTTCAGAGGTTAAACACAGAATAACGACTAAAATAGACTGTTCGTTTGCATACACGCATCCAGCCGTTCTTACAACTGTAAGCTTACATCGATTGTGAATCAATTTGCACATCAAGTTCAGCAGTAAACGGCAAACAAGCGAAACAATACGAAAAATACATTCATCCCGTACCTTTGCTTTATCGTTGTTGACATCATTCACAGCTGTCATCATCGTCTAAAAATGAGTAGCTTTAGTTCGAAGAAAAATAAATTTCGGAAATCGATCTGACCTGCTGGCGATCAGCGTAACCATTGCGTTTGCGATTCTTAAATTCCTTGAATACGAGTTCTTGAAAGAATTTTTGGTCCAAGGGCGACAGTAGTCATTTTGAAAATTCTCCATCCTTCCAAGTATCCTGGACTTGGAGTGATGTCTTTCGAATAAATACAAATTTGATTTAGCAACTGTCCGGCATGTT